GTCGCTATCTTTTTAAATTCGTCGGTATGACATCACTGGATAGAAATTATTACTGACAAGTAATAAATTTATTATTCGTTTTGGCTGGGTTATATTTGAATATATTTACAACTGAGAAAATATTGCAATTTTGGGACAAAAAATTCAACCTGAAAAAAAGAAGTTAACCTCTCGCGCTGGCAACTGATTTCGCGGACCATAACGAGTGACCAAACCGTATACGATAATACTAAGAAATTACTAAGAAATAATAAATTATTTTGCCTGGGTTATATCGAAATAACTAAAAACTGAGGAAATATTGCAACATTGGGACCAAAAAAAAAAAAAAAAAAAAAATGTGTCGACGTGCGTGGCACGTCGTTCCAGCGCAAGAGGTTAACGCGTTAACCGACGCTTCCCGATGGAAGGTGAATTAGTATTGCGCGTAACGCAGGACCAGCAGCGGAGCGGCACACCGAGCATTATGCCCTCGCCGCGTCACGCCGCGCTGTGATTTCGTTGTCCGCTTTATGGCAACTCGTTCCCAGACGAGCGGAAGCCGACTCTGCTCTTCATCGGCTGTAATTACAGCGTTTATCTGCTCCTGCTCCCGTAGGAAAAATTCGCGGCCAGCTACGTCGACCGACCTGGTAGAGAATGCCTACCAACGCAACGCAACGAAAAAAACCGACCACCTCACTGTCGAAATTGTCCACCGTTTTCCCGTGTGTGCCTTTTTTAATTCGCCACTCGATACACGAGTTTCACAATACCTTCTTCTTCGTTTTCTTTTTTTCTCTTTTCACAATTCTTTCATATCCGTCGTAGGTATTTTATTATTTTATTTCTTTCATCGGTTCGAACTGAGATATAAATATATGAACAGAAACATAGTTGCAGTTTTAAATAAAATAATAAAACATGCTGTTTCTCTCTCTCTCTCTCTCTGAGAGAAATTTTCTCTGCAAATTTTCAAATTTTTACCGAATTGCGAGTTTCTGCCTTCTCGCAGATCAAAGTCACCCTTTCTGCAAGTTTGTTTTTTTTTTTTTAAACTATTGTGGTAAAAGTGAAGTTATTATTCCGAAAATTGTAAATTTTATTTTACCTGTGTAACAGTGTGCTTAAATGATGTAAAATGACATAAGATTAACGTAAAATACTTATTCAACACTTAAAAGTATTTATATACACGTATAATGATTCGTTTACCGTTGCGTGGGGTAATTTTATGTACAGGGTGGAAAGGAAAGTTTGTCCGTGGCTATCATAGATGAATTCTTCTTCGAATTTCAATATTTTACTTATCACGAAGATAAAACTTTTCCAACGAACCATAGGTCGCAACCTATTGTAATAATTGTAATAATTCTCATGAAAAATGGCATTTAACGCGTGAGTTCTGACAGCGAC